CGCGGATGACCTACTTTTCTTCCTGACTGCCCCGGACACCTCACTACCGAACCTAATAGCGGAACTTAACACATATGGGGAATTGTCCAATTATCATGTCAATGCCCAAAAGTCGGAAGCCTTAAACCTCACGTTACCTCCTTCCCATATCACTCGCCTACGGAATAACTTCCCATATGTGTGGTCCGAATCCTAAATCAAATATCTGGGAGTCCAGCTTCCGAGGGACCTGACCGCAGTTTACTCTCTAAACTTTCTGCCCCTACTTCAGCGCCTAACGCTTGACCTCAAGGACTGGTCTCGGCTGGCATTCTCTTGGACGGGGCGGTGCAACGTGGTCAAACAGAATGTTTTGCCCAGGTTGTTATACCCTATCCAGGCACTGCCCATTTTGGTTCCGAGAGGATTCTGGAAATCGATCCAATCCCCCCCTCCGTCTTTTCTTTTATCTCAACCTATCTTCTTTACTTCCTATGCCTCTGCGATTATGTACGACCCTACATATAGTATGGAAATACTTACCTCCCTAATTGCCGCAGCCCCGGTGAGACTGCAAGAGTCCAGTTACCCAACACACACCGCAGTAAGGGAGCCAGGGCTTGGAACACACAGTAGATCCACTCAGGATGGACCTGAACAGCTCCTCTCACTCTCACGATGAGCCGCTAGATAACTGGGCAATGGAGTTGCACTCGAGACAGGCCCCCTAGGCAGTGGAGGCCGGATGGTCCACAGGCTGAGGTGTGGCCAACGGGGCTAATCATCCAAATTGGCCTTAGGGTTGTGATGAGTACATTTGCAGTTCTAATTATAATATTGTTTTGAAGAGGTCTATCAGTTGTGCGCGATCAGTGGCTGCGTTCACTGCTTTGGTATTGGAAATTTTGTCCCTTACTTACTTTCTGTTGCATGTATTCTTGAAAACCTGTTCAATAAAAGAATTTATAAAAAAAAAGTAATGCCATGGTATGAATATATCACAAAATTTTAATATCAAGTCTTATTTACATTTTCTAAAACAGAAAAACTCCATGAGGAGATTGATCAAGTGATCGGCCGTTCGCGACAACCAAAGGTAGAAGACAGGAACCAGATGCCTTATATGAATGCTGTTATACATGAAATCCAGAGAATTAGTGATGCCATTCCATCGGGGTGCATTCGTTCTACCACACGGGATGTAGACTTCCGTGGATACAGAATTCCAAAGGTGAAGAATCTTAACATCATAGAAATGTAATAACTGCACTGCACTGGCTCACAGTCTGTAAATAGCCATGGACATAATGTACATCAAGTGGTCTTATAGGGTTATTCACAAAGCTGCCGAAGGCAGCCGAGTGGATAACCGACCCGAAGTAACGCTGTTCGGCTATTCATTTCAGGCGTGTGTAGCTAATTTCAGCTCTACATCGGCTGAAATCAGCCGTACATTGGCTTGCTTTGCCTGGCTTTGGTTCAGCCGAACATGCCCATGTTCGAATGAGCCAAAGTGCAGAAGGAGTTCAAGATGTTGGATCGGCTGAGCCAAACCTCCGGCAGACTACTCGCTACCGTTTGGCCTATTCCCATAGGGGCCGAACGGCAGTGAGTGAATAGCATAGCAATAGCATTCGGCTCAGCTATTCTTCTTGGTACCTCCGTGGTACCGAGCAGAATAGAAAAACAGTGAAAAAAGTTGAAAGAAAATGTTTACAAATGTAAATAAACGATACATTTTAAAAAACAAATAAAGATTTGAAAAAAATTTAAGATTATTGAAAAAAGAAAAAAAAATGTTTTAAAGAAAGAAACAATTGGGCGGAGCAAGCAGTGACAGCTAGTTCTGTCCAACTGTTTCCTATTGGCCGAGACCTGCTAGAGTCTTCTAGCAGGTCCCGGCCACAAGATACCAACTGGGCGGAGCCGGCCGTGACGTCACAGCCGGCTACACCAAGTTGTCATTACTTAATGACAGTTCAGCGTCCCCAGGTAGTCAGTCGAGCCGAAGCATATGCCTTCCGCTCCGCTGAGCCGCTCGGCCAGCTTCGGGAGCTGTACGGGCTATTGTGAATAGCCCGTACAGCAGCCCTTTGGTTCTACTGAACCGAATGGCTCCGGCTGCCGAAGCTAGCCGAAGGATCAGCCGGAGCCGGAGCTAGGTTTCTCCTAGACCCGAATGGCATTTGGGATCTAAATTTTCCGAATTACGGGTCTGGGAGCCATATACATATATTACTAAAGCTGAGGCTCCCAAATCCGAGGTTCATACGGGAGCTCCCGAGTGCAATTCGGAAATTCGGATCCTGAATGCCATTCGGGTCTAGGAGCCTCAGCTTTAGTATTATATGTATATACTGTATATGGTTCCCATGTGGCAGTAGCGAAAATTTGTGTTCAGACCCATTTGGATGCATTAAACTGAAAAACACATCTGATTGGCCAGAAGAGTCACACGTCTGATTCAGTTTAGTTTTTGGACAAAATTCAGACGGGATCGGAAAATCGGATTCAGACACATTCGGATGCACTGGGATTTGGAAATTCGAATGTGTCCAAATGTCTGAACTTCCGAAAATTTGTCCGAATTTGATTCGGAACTAAACAAATCGCACATGTCTAGTGTTCAGTACTCCATGGAGTATTGCTGAGCTTATGAAAGCAGCACTACACTTATGTAGTGTTACACTGTGTGCCCAGACTGAGGTGGTGACACATTTCCACGGATGTCCATGACAACCTGGGCTCACAGGAAATGGAATGAAGGATGATAGACTTCATGCAACCAGGAAGAGAAACTTCAGCTGGTGGAAGAGCAGAGTTTCGGCAGGGAAAAGTACCAGAGAGTAGGTAAATATGAAAGTGAGAGCTGCTTTTCTTTTTTTTTCTTGGACTGTAACGTTGGGCATTTTTTTCCTTTTGGGGAACTAGAGTTCTGGTTCAAATGTAAAGTCAATGAAACTTGAAAAGCCTGTATCTCTTTTTCAGGGCACAGATGTTTTGCCAGTACTGACCAGTGTTTTAAAGGATGCTTCACAGTTTGAAACTCCTGAAGCGTTTAATGTCAAACATTTTTTAGATGAGGATGGAAAATTTAAGAAAAATAATGGATTTATGCCATTTGCTGCAGGTATGTGAGTCTTTTACTATTTAATTGGACGTGTTTTGGTGTATTTGTCCATATAAATATTTTTTTGTTTTTTTCACATCACTGTCTCAGGAAAGAGAGCATGTATTGCAGAAAGCTTGGTGCGAATGGAACTTTTCATCTTCTTCACGACTGTTTTGCAAATATTCACCCTTCAGTCACCTGTGGACCTCAAGGAACTCAATATTGCTCCAACAGAGAGTGGAATAGAAAATATCCCTCCAGCTCAAGAAGTCATCTTCATCCCTCGAGAGTAAAAAGCAACAGCGCATCTTTAACTGCCCAGGAGAATTTTATGACAGAGGAAGTTTTTTCACTGCTTATGATAGCCAGTCACCTTTTCCCTTCTTGGCATGCTTTTTAAATGAATCTATTCTTCAGGATGTTTTTGGACTCAAATTGTGGAGGAGCCCCCATCTGTCCTTTTTCCATTTGAGTCTTTTTCCTTTCTAGACTTCTCTTCACTTCTAGATGTTTCTAGACCTTTCATTAGAAAAGGATATAGGTTGCTGTTGCGTACCTCTTCTTCTAAGCTTGTTAGTTGCCTGGCAGTCATTTTATTGTTTTGGCTTCATAGTTTTATGAGCTACTGGCCTGGAAAAAGGAATGTGGTAGGAAATTCTGACACATGTCTAACACTCATTTACAGCATGCATGTCCATTGGTCTCAAATGTACCGAAGCTACACACTGCTAGGCAGTTAGCATTGTTAGAAGTACTTTAAAGTGTATGTCAATGCAAAATAATAAAAAAAATGCAGAACATCTTTGCCATTAGCCCATTTTGTATGCCTTTAAAGACACTGCAAGTACAGAACAATACCTGTTAATCTGTTAGAAATACTCTCATTTCTTAATTTTCTATTGTGGGCTGACAATACACAGCATTGTTCGGGAATGAGTCATGTCATCCCCGTTTCGTGTCATTTGATAAACTTCTCAACTACTTAGACTCTCAGACCTGTACAACATAAAGGCTAATCATGCTAAGAACTAGAAGGGCTAATTAGACTCCTTTGGATAACATAGGACGTGTTATACAGCAAGCCTCCCGCTCCTGACTGATTCACTTATGTGTGTAAATGTCATCTTGTACTACTGAGCCCTGTAAATAATAGGCTTTTTACAACAGGAAGAAAAGGAGAACTGAAAAATGTGAAAATGAGCCAAAAGCTCCACCTACTGGCTGGATATGAAGATACAAAAATATACAATATTTTATCTGAAAGTATACAGTATATATACAGGTGAAACTCGAATAATTAGAATATCGTGCAAAGTTCATTTATTTCACTAATGCAACTTAAAAGGTGAAACTAATATTTGAGATAGCCTCATTACATGCAAAGCAAGATAATTCAAGCTGTGATTTGTCATAATTGTGATGATTATGGCTTACAGCTCATGAAAACCCCAAGAACCCCAAATCCACAACCTCAAAAAAGTAGATTATTACATGCAATCAATAAAACAAGGATTGTACATAGAACAATATCGGACCTCTGAAAAGTACAAGCATGCATATGTACTCAGTACTTGGTTTGGGCCCCTTTTGCAGCACTTACTGCAATTACTTTTGCATGATATTCTAATTATTCGAGTTTCACCTGTATATATATATATATATATAGTCCCAGGGATAGACACTGTACTCTGTTTGTAAATTAAATGACCAGGTATCATCCACAAAAATATCCATACAAATGCATAGTAGGTATAGAGGCACGCACAGGTCTTGCAGCGGAGATAAATCAAAACATCAACATTTATTTCTCAATGTTTCAGTGGAGCTCAATCTTTATAAAAATGTACTGAGCTCCATCTAAACGTTAGCAATAAAATGCTGATCCTTTTATTTCCATTTATGTTACATGCATTACCATTGATAGCACTCCACTGCACTTTGGCAACAAACACATGTTGCAACAGGTTGTAATACACAGCAAATCACCATAGTGCATTGCGGTGCCCAGCCAAGTATTGTTTTACATTTTTTGCCAAGCACTTGCTCATGTTTCCAAACAGCTCCAACTCTCACAGCTCCATTTCCCTGAGCTTCCTGTCAAGTCCCTGAAGCTCAGGGAAATGGAGCTGTGAGAGTTATGGGCAGTCACAAGGGACAGAGCCGTCTGCAGCAGCTGTAAATCTACTAGCATGGAGGAGCGAGGAGGACGTGGATTACCTTGCTATGCCTGTGAGTTTGTGGAGACAAACACAGATTACTAGCACACACGGGGGGCTCCATAGGATCCTCCAGGGGAAAGGAGCCACCCTTAAACAGGATATCAGGGTGAGTGCTCAGGGGACCAGCTGATTCTGCAGGAAACAAACACTTTTAAAACTCAGGAAGCATCATCCATTGTAAGTAATTTAATCAGCATTTGAAATAGCTTCCACAATAAAAAACAGTATTCGTTGTTCTGGAATCATTTGTGTACCAATGGGCATATTGATACACATTTGCCAGAACCTGCTTAGTGTTTGAAAACAACTAAATATAAGTAGGAATTGGTCTAAAAATCCACAATAAAATATAGACTAAATCTGGCCATCCACTGTTCGAATGTTGGCCAAGTCCTACCAACTTGGCTGAAATTTGAGCAGCAGTTGGCCATGCCAGAATCACTCTGTTTTGACAAATATTGATTATTTATTTCACTTGTGTCAAAGTAGCCAGGGCAGAAATTTCTGTCCGAACAGGGACTGCAGCCAATCAGCATCAGTCACCGTCCAGGTATTCTGACAGCTGCAGGTATCAGAATACAATAGTCCGGTAGAAGATATGCCCCCATTTAAACTGTTTAGCATGGATGGGGGAATTGACTGTTTTTTACCAATTCAGCCCACGGGGCCAAAACGAGAAGAAACTAATGAGTGTGCCCAGATGTATCTCATTATATATGAACCAATTTACTCTGAATTAGTTACTGTTTGGAAGTCGTCTTTGTTTCATACTGACTGTGTGATGTATTATGAAGCACAATGTGTTGTCTTTTGATAGAGACAAGGAGACTAGAAAATACAATTGAGGGAAGCTTAATGAATTAATTTGTTTTTCTGATTGTTACATTGTGTCGCTTCCTCACAGTTTGAAACTTCAAGATCAAAGGATTCTTGGATGAGAATGCTGCTTTTATGGGAAACTCCATTCTTTTTAATGTTTTCTTTGGACATACATGTGAATGTGATAGGTTTAACTACTAAAACCATTTTTCTCCTTTAAAATCACCCTGCATAGGAAGCCGTACTGATAGATGGGGTCTGTTAATATTTAAATTGTCATCTCAAAAAAAAGAAAAACAAAATCCTAAGAGCAGTTCCCTGTAAAAGAACAGGTATTATACTTAGCTCCTCGGTGGCCCAGGTTTCCTATTTTCTCTTTGCTGAACCACCATACTTTTCATCACTTTTCAGCATTTGTCACTTCAGGATGCCTGTGACCCCTGCCGTGTGCTGTATTTCCATCTTCTGTCCCAGAAGTGTCCTGTAGAGAAGTAGGGCCCTGAGAATAGAACCTCTGGGTGCAGCTGGAGTTAACAGGCATTTGACACAATATGGTAAATGTTCAAAGCTAAAGAGCTCTCTCTAATGCACTGAGTTATGGGCAGTCCCTTGCCATCCTCACATACAATGCAGGATCAATAGCCCTCCACTGTATCTGATGACATCTGCCTGTGACCACCAAACGTAAGTGCCATAGAGAAAAGGTTTAGGGGGCAGTCGCAGCCTGCAGGAGCATGAGATTAGACAAGTTCAAGTCCCTTTTCCTGGTACCCTAGGTAAAAACGTGCATTTAATCCTTGCATTGCAAGTGGGGACCCCACTTCAGGGTATGTTTTTCTTCTCCACAGAGTTACTTTTTCTTTCTTGATGACAACAGTTTCTTTTTGGGTTAACATTTTATTTTGTGTCTCAAGTGGCTGAAAAAGGTGAACAGATGAACATATGCTCCTATTAGGGATGCACCAATACCGTTTTTTCAGTATCGAGTACGAATACCGATATTTTGCGTTCGGGACTCGCCGATACCGGTGCTTCCACTGGCATGGATCTGGATTCCTGAGCAATCAGGAAGCCGGGTGGCGAATAATGACATGCCGCCCGGGTTCCTGATTGCCTGGGAAGCCAACTCCATGCTGTTTGGCCAGCTCGATTGTGATTGGCCAGAAAAGCGGCTTCCCTGCCAATCAGCATGGAGCCTGCTTCCCAGCCAATCAGGTAACCGGGTGGTGAATAATGACTCACCTCCCGGTTTCCTGATTGGCAGGGAAGCCAGCTCCATACTGATTGACAGGAAAGCCTGCTTCCCAGCCAATCAGCATTGAGGTGGCTTCCCGACCAATCAGGAAGCCGGGAGGGGGGTCATTACTTGTCACTCGGCTTCCTGATTGCCCGGGAACACGGCTCCATGCTCCCCTACTGCCCTTTCTGACCGTAAGTTATGGTATCGGAGCATTTGGGCGAGTACAAGTACTCGCCCAAATACTCAGTAGCGGTGCTGATACCAATACTAGTATCGGTGCATCCCTAGTTACTATAGGTATTATACTTGATAGAAGAAATTCTATCTTTGCTATCCCGGTAGACATTGAAAAGTTATTCCAATGCCGAGTCAGCGTACTTTTGAACATTCACTTGGAAAGTAAATATCCCGAATTCCTTTAGTAAATCAACCACTACGAGGGGAATTTATCAAAACTGGAGCAGACAAAATCTGAAGCAGTTGCCCATGTCAATAAATCAGCTTCTCTCTTCAGTTGGTTCAGTTAAGATTTGAAAATGAAAGAGAGGAGATGATTGGTTGCAGTGAACAGCTGCTCCAGATTTTGTCTGTCCTAAATGTCCTAATTTAACAAGATTTGACAGATCTAATTGTCCTAATGTAACAAGAACCTTTCACCGACTATTTGCCTATATCTACTTTCTGCGTGTAAAGCTAAATATAAGTAACAAATACAGATCTGTCTGTTAATCTTTACATTATTGTGTATTCTGTCTATGTGTAAATACAGTTTATTGCTGTCACTGCTGTAGAGCTGCAATCCCCCTTGAGGGCCTCAAAGAATCCTTCTCTTCAATGCAGTTCAGCAGGAAGCATTGTATACCATGAACAGCAGCCAAACCAAACAGAACTCTACTGTTTCAGCAAATCTAATCATTCTGTAATTGCAATGAATGAGATAAGCTAAATAGGGCAGGGAGCAGTCAGCAATCGAAATAACAGCGCTGAAAGTATTTCATGTGTAGATGAAAACTGTATAGAATGAAAACTGTATAGAATCTAGGAAGTAGGATATCGGCTTACAAATTTCTACTCCACGCATGATTTATATCATAGCCGGTACATCTGAGGAGCACTACCAGAATGCATGCTGGATGGCGTTGAGCTTAAGCAAATGTGAAAGCAGGTAATCATATAGAATCTGTGACAACCATAATGAATAAAACAGAAAATTCAGCAAAAGAAAATTGTCCAAGCCATAATCTAGAATAGTCATCCTGCACCTTGCCATTTGCTCTGCAGTACCCATTCAAACTTCATCGGAATACAAGATGAAGTTTGAATGGGTACTGCAGAGACTTACCACCACATGACAGGTACCATGTACATAAGTGAGGTACTGCATAATGTATAATGCAGAAAGTAGGTAGTTGGTGAATGCATGTTTCCAAGACACAGTGGAGCCTATTCTACTGAAAAAGCTGTTTTATACTGTTGCTTACCTCCCATCCATCCCAAATTCTGTGGAACTGATTTCAACAACATCTCAGAGTCTCTCAGATCCAGGCTAATTCCCAGAGTTGAGTGGTAGAACACTTGTTTCGTAACTTGGCTCCACACCTAAGTATACAGGTGAAACTCGAATAATTAGAATATCGTGCAAAAGTTCATTTATTTCACTAATGCAACTTAAAAGGTGAAACTAATATATGAGATAGACTCATTACATGCAAAGCAAGATAGTTCAAGCCGTGATTTGTCATATCACAGCTCATGAAAACCCCAAATCCACAATCTCAGAAAATTAGAATATTGTGAAAAGGTGCAATATTCTAGGCTTAAAGTGTCCCACTCTAATCAGCTAATTAAGCCATAACACCTGCAAAGGCTTCCTGAGCCTATAAATCTCAGTCTGGTTCAGTAGGAATCACAATCATGGGAAAGACTGCTGACCTGACAGTTGTGCAGAAAACCATCATTGACACCCTCCATAAAGGAGGGAAAGCCTCAAAGGGTAATTGCAAAAGAAGTTGGATGTTCCCAAAGTGCTGTATCAAAGCACATTAATAGAAAGTTATGTGGAGGGGAAAAGTGTGGAAGAAAAAGGTGCACAAGCAGCAGGGATGACTGCAGCCTGGAGAGGATTGTCATGAAAAGGCCATTCAAAAGTGTTGAGGACTTTCACAAGGAGTGGACTGAGGCTGGAGTCAGTGGAGCCACCACACACAGACGGATAATGAGTCTCTCTCATATATTAGTTTCACCTTTTAAGTTGCATTAGTGAAATAAATGAACTTTTGCACGATATTCTAATTATTCGAGTTTCACCTGTATATCGCCGAGATGAGTGATCTACTGCCCAATAGTATGAGTTATGGTGGTGACGTGACTTCACAAGCAGTGTCACAGGGCACGGAGCAGGAAATAGGTAAGTGTGCTCTACATCTCCAACTGACCACTAATGTTTTATAGGTAGGGCAGCATCACTGATCACCAATGTTTTTCAGGTGGGGTAGCACCACTGATCACTAGTGAACACTACTGACCACCATTGCTTTTCGGCA